AAGTGAATGAAAACATTCGTATGTCTCGATAAACGATAACTAGCTAAAACTGGAGAAAAATGCTTGAGATTTTCGAAAATTTTATATTGGTGCGAGATGAAATTGTTATTTCAAAAATCGGAAATTGCCCAAAACCTTTCGCTAAAAAAATTCTAGTCAGAGAGGCGAAGCAGAGCTTCGCACCGCTCAAGATACAACTCAGACTTAGAAAATTAGGCAGACGCCACTAAATCAGAAAAAAACTATACCCACAAAACTTTCATAAGTTTTTCTATAATGATGCTCAATTGAACTAAAAATTCGAAATAAATTTTAGCAACTTGAAAATTCTCTCCACTCTGAAAGCTTAAGGTAACGCAATATAAGTGAGAACTCCAGTATGACATTTGTCGAAACTGTTTAAGGCAATTAAACCGCTCGAGCAATAAAAAAACTACATATATAGGAAAGAAAAAAGAGACCTCAAGTTTACAAATAACAGGGATGAATCAAAACGCCATTCATATATTACAAAATTTGCCTTAACCAGACGAATAATTGCGAAATTTGAAGACAATCCGACAAAATAAGCAAAAGTCTAAAAACTAAAATTAGTTCCTCGCCAGAATTGAAACCATTGCTCTTGTCGTCTCATGTATGAAACTTACCTCCATGTAAACGAGCCAAATTGGTACCTCGTTTTTAAAATGCTGTTTAAGTAGGCATAGCAAATGATTCAGAGATTTTTAAATTTCGCTGAGAAATCTAATACTTTAACTCCGTTTTCAAAATTAGATGTTGATTATGTTTTTCAGAATTTGTAGACTTTTGCTGTTTAATAGTGGAATGTGCCATCTTTTTCCAAGGAAATGAACTGAAAGTAAAGAAGCCAAAAGTCAAACTGCGATTAAGTATATTCGAGCCTAAGCAAATTATAAGACTTTTCCTGAAAAAAAACAATAACGTCATCACGGCCTATGTTAAAGTCCGAACTACGTTCATCAACTATTAATATCTTTTTCCATTTAAGCGTCCGTATCTTTTAAGGGAGATAAACAATGTTTCCCGAAAAAAAACTTTGTTTAATAAACTTCAAAACATGTTTGCATTAAGATGCAATTAAGTTGGAAAAAAGGACCTACTGTAAAATACGCTCGCGAAGTGAACAAAAAAATTTCAAAGGATTTGATTTTTTTATACTATGTGTGGATCTTAAGTACTACGTACTTGCACAGCTACTGAAAACTCATCAATGCGTATATGCCGAATGTTCAGAAACACGTTTGAAATGTCGTCAGATAAGGAAAAAACACCCATACAAGTATATTTTAAGTATATTGCTAGCCAGACGTCTTCAAAAAATAAGAAAAAAATCAAAAACAATTACTATAGTCGTGTCATTTTAGATTAACCTACGTGCTTATTTCAAAAGCATTGCAAATTTTTTTTACGGATATTTGAAAATTGTACCGGCTGCTGGAGAACTTTAACAAACAGTTTCACTGTACAAAAAAGCGTACAGGCAAAGTGGAGTTTGACACTACTTGCGATACAACGCAAACATTTGAAAAAAACTTGAGAAAAAATAGAAAAATGAAAAATTTTAAGAAATGAACGAACACTTTCGTATGTCTCGATAAAAAATAACTAGGGTTCTAGCTAAAACAGGAGATAAATGCTTGAGATTTTCCAAATTTTTTATAGTGATGCGAGTTGAAATTTGTTATATCAAAAATTGGACTTTGCCCAAAACCTTAGTTGCTTCTAAACTAAAATAAGTGAGAAAGAAAACTTTTCAGAAACTGCATTCTTCCAAAAGGCATCATTTTTTTAAATAGAAATAAGTAAGGAGTCGCCAATTCTGTAGGAACACTTCTCGCAGCCGGTTCTTACTATTGACCCCTTCATCTCAGATTTGAAAGTATAGTTTCTGAAAAACGTCAAACGTCAAACTTAAAATCAACTCAAAAATAAACGTTTTTTTATACAAAAAATCGTGGCCGTTTCAGAAACGAAGATTCTGAAAACCAGGCTTCTCGATTAAACAGTTGATCTCAAAAATGACAGTGTAGTTATCGAGAAAAGTCAAAGAGAATAAAAAACGATCTAAAAATCAAAAAGTTGACTTTTCCGAGGGCCATAACTTTCATTAAAATACCTAGGCATAGTCGCAAATGCAAGGAAGCTTCTTAAAAACAATTTTTTAGTTGCAACACAAAATCTCAGATTTGAGAAACCGAAAAAAAAAATTTTGTTTCAAAGATCTTATCCACATACTTTTTCGATGGCTGTAGTAGACAGTGGGGTAAAGTGTAACAGTAAAAAAATACTAGGGGATTATGCACGGGCGCAGTGAATTGGGCGGTTTTTTCATAATCTGTATTTAAATCCGTAGATTAGTTGTATATTTTGCGAAAAAAAAATAATGTGTTTGCAAAAAACTATCGAAAGCGTCTCAAAAAAATGAAGTCAAAAACCCAATTCCATACATTCTATAAATCGCAAGCGTAAATAGCAATGGAACAAAATCTACGAAGCAGAAACAAAGCCGACAGTCTTTGATCAGACACCATTTGTGCCGAAAATTTTTTTTTTATAAAAACATAGATAAATGATAGTTGAAAAAGAGTAATGAACGCAAGGAAACTGAAAAAGACATTTAAAAAAAAAATCTTCAACTTTTGAAATTGGAAGAAAAAAATAGATGGCTTTAAAGCTGTTTTAATTTGTAGAAAAATTATATGAACACCTTTAGTTGAAATTAACCCAATTTGAGAAAACTGGATCAATAGGCAAAACTTTTATTTCGCTGGGAAATCTGATAATTAATTTCATTTTCGAAATTATAAGTCAATCATGTTTTTAGTGACCTTTACCCTTTTGCTGTTTAATAGTGGAGTTTGCCTTTCTTTTAACAATTTTGAAAAAAATCACAAGACGCGAAAAATCAAAATTAAGCGTGAACTAATTTTGGGCCTGAAAAAAAATTAAGATCTACATAAGAGTAATCACTACGTTCATTACGCTCAATTTTAAGCCCCCCAGAAACAACAATGATCAACACTTGGAACTACCCTGATACTTGTATGCAGTACAATAAAATCCGATGTGACTAATGAGCCGACAAAACTTGAGCAGAAAAACGAAAGTACGACAAATCCATTTTTACCAGAAACTTTCATTTTCATAAAAACTGAAAAAAGCACTGTCCTAACGGGACTCAAACCCCAAATCTTGGGCTGCAAAAGCAACCAAGTTACCTCCAGGCCAAGTTGGAGGGCACCTGGACGTTGTTTTGATTCAATAACAAAGGTTAATTTATTGAAAGAAAAAATGTTTACGGGAAAAAGAAACAAGTTCCCTGAATCTAGAAAAAAAAAGAGTTCGTGATACGAAAGAAAATTTCTTGTTTTAAAAAAAGACGTCCTGGCCCGGATGAAAACCCCAGAAGCCTACGAAATCCATGAAGCCGACAAAAAAATCAATTTAATTCTCAAAAAAAATCCCAGTAACAATCTTGTACCCAGGAGTTAAGTTTGAGTTTTCATGAAACTGAGCAGAATGTCAGCAGCATAGCAGCAATTGATTCAACTGATTTTGTTAAACTAGTTGTTAACCCGAACAAAAAGTCTACATTCCGATTTGATTACGCTTGCGAATCGCAAGCGTAATGGCATTAAGCATGTCAACATAAACATCATCTGTTGATTAAAACTTCAAAAAAATAATCATGTCAGCAGGTATAAAACATATCACTGCTGAAATCTGAGAAAAATTATTCATCGGGGCAAAAGTCTAGTATCCGGATGCAATACCTTTGCGTATGAAGTTACTTTCTAACTATGAAGTTCTCTAGGACAAATAATTCAAGTTTTCCTTAGAGAGAAACTTTCAAAAGTTATTGCTTTATAATTTATCCAACACATTATTCTTCAAAAATAGAGCAGAATATTGTGACAAATTAATATCTGAACATCGAAGAGTATCAATTTAAGGTTTTTACAGACTGCGCGTTTTAGAGCGGCAAATAAATTTAGGAATGAAAATCTTTTACGATACATTGAAATAAGCAGAGAAATCATTGCCATACTATTGGAAGTATTATGACATTTTTGATATGAGAAATACAGTTTTGATATGAGTACAATCTCAAGTTTTTTTTTCAAAATAAGTGTAATCAACCGTTTTTCACCATAATCCGAGAACAGGTATTAATAAATCTTCTACAATATTATTTCAAATTTTTTATTCAAAATAGCTGTCTTGAATAATTTTAGAAAGCAAATTTTATCTCCAGTATTTTCGGTTTAATATTTCACATTTCAGAATCATAAAAATCAATCCAAATTGACCTTATTCAAACCCCCATCATAATAACCCCAAATATTACCCCAGTCGCAACTCATAGTATGGGAAGGGATTTTGCCGCACAAACTCGTTGTCGACGTCAAGGGAGTCTCAGAAAACCTGACTGGAATCGAGAGACAGAAAAGGCTCTGGCTAGACACGACATGTCTTAGCGACATGTCCAAGGAACAAAAGACGCTTCTGATACGAGACTAGAAAGTCCACGCACAAGAGCGCTTCTCTCTGTTTCTGCTCGGAGAGAGCAACAAGAGCAAGTTCCCGGTGGGAAAGGGACACAGGGGAAGGAGAGACCCCATTACAGGGTCTGAGTTGCGACTCACAACTACCAAAACGTTGAAATCAGGCCACAAAACGCAAAATATTTATCATAACCGATTAATATAAAATATAGCATGACAAATAAAAAGTATTTATCTCGCATATTCATCTCACATATATTTTTTCGCTGTTAAACTTCTGTATTAGGATCGAAATTAGGTTGTTATCGGATTCATGGTGAAATTTCCCATGCTAAATAACTGAATTAAATCGAGCGGGAAATTTGAATTCTGTGATAGCATGATTTCTTTGCTTGTTTCAGAAGCATTGGATCACTGACACTATAAACAGTTGATCTTTCTTAGACCATATAGCAATTTAAAAAATAGGTTTCAATTTGGTTGCCGCGCTAAAAAAAAGCCCCGTACAACTTCACAAGAATAACAAAGTAAATCAAAATAAACAAATTGATCAAAAATATGGTTGAGCGCCATTTTAGTTCAAAAAATCTAAGTCTCTTTTCACATTATGCACAAGAAGTTGAAAACACAGACAGTTTATCGGGTAGTTTTTGGTATCAATGAGATAAGAATTGTCGAATGGTGTTAGATATGTGTCCACACAACTGAATCTTGGAGAGAACCCACGACAACTGTATAAAAAGTACTTCTGTCTTCTTCTGTTTTCAGCTCTTACTGCACTACTAGGTAAGCATCTGCAGGAATGTCGCCAGCATTCTAAAACAACCCAACCAAGAAATATTTTAACTGACTGTTTTTGTTCACAACTTAACTTAACAATTTTCTGCGACTGTTCACAACTAAACAACTTTCCTCAGAGGCGAAGCTGCACTTTGCACACACAAGCAAAAATATGACCGATAACGCTACTGGGAAAAACTGAATGAAAAAAACTTTGAGTCTACAAAATTTCTTAAGTGACGCAAGCCAATTCTGGCGCATTAGCAGTACCAGTCAATTTGAAAAAAAAAAGAAATTTACCAACTAACAAGCCTCAATTTAAAGAGAGGACGCATTTTAACCAGTATACATAAAAGTTCATTAAAACATCCGACCCTGCCCAGGTTCGAACTCCCGTATTTTGTTGCTGGTCTCCTTCCCTACCTCTATGCTACAGATCCATGATACCTTGAAGCTGAAGTGCTATTTGTTATAAAATAGTATGTGTAAATATCCTTGGCATTGTCTGTATTTAATAGCTGGTTATTGATCAAAATGAACATAGCCAATTGAAGATTGGAAAATAGTAATGAACGCAAGTAAACATACAAAAAACACTGACTTTCTTGAAAAAATCTCTAACTTACGAATTTCAAAGAAAAAATTAGATGCCCTTTAAGCTCTTTGAATTTCTAGAACAATTTCTTTTCTTGGCGCTTTTTTAATAACATGAACCCAACTAGAGAAAACTGGATGAAAAGGTACAGTTTTCATTCCGCTGGAAATCTAAAAATTAAATTCCACTTTCGAAACTAGAAATCGTTCACGTTTTTTCGCGCTATTTCCACGTTCGGTTTTGGAGAGTGCTACTTCCGCCACTTTTAGCAGATAAATTTCAATTGAACTCAAAAAATGCATATATACCTAAGTGGATTCATAAATGCATTAATATGTATGAATGCACATCTGTAGTTAATAGAGACTTCCAAGACTTTTCCTGAAAAAAAAATCAGCAAGACCTATATAAGAGTCTTCACAACATTCATTACTCTTGAACACATTTTGTCGCAATATTTGCGATTTAGGTTGGAAAAAGAGTTCATACTATAACACAAACTTTGCTTGTGTAATGATTCGACTAATGAAAAAATCAATAATTTTAGTACATCCGCAAAAATTTTAGTCCATCAAGCTTAAAGGGAAATAGGCGGGGTGCGGGATCTTCAAGTCTTGATCTACACAATCCTTGTGATGAATGATATCAATGAGTTTATTTGACAGCGCCAAAAAATGTTTTCTGTTAATTTTATCGCATCACTAAGCTTCATTTTTTATACAAAGATGCTCGGGGCCTCATTTCACACTGTGCTGCCTTATTTCAATGACACTTGACTCACCTTTGCTCTCTGGTAGTCGATGGCAGCTGTTTCGTAATGGAAGTGATTGGCCTGGAGACAGTCGAGAGACCACTTCAAATTCAGACCAGATTCGGCACTGAACTTCTTCACTAGCTCCTCTTTCTGCGCATCGGTCAATATTACAGCCTGCACAAACAACATCATTATTAATTCTGAAAGAATACTGCGTTTTTCAAATGGTTTCGGACCAGTAAATTGTGAATATCTTATGACACCGCGTAATAAACAGACTTATTAACCATTTTGTACCAATAACCTGACAATAACATACAAAGTAGTCAAAAAGAGCTAGCTGTTTTCAAATTGATTGGGAAAAAAATAGTTTGTTTTATATTCAATCTGTATCCGAGTATATTGACACATCACTCAAGGCATAGAAATCTTCTGAGTTCCAGATGCCAGCATTTTGTCTTTTACTTACAGGTGTGGGGTTGGCAGCAGCAGTAACAGCAGCAGCCACCTGGGCTTGCAGATGAGTCTGGGCCATGACAGCGGGACTGTTGGAGGGGGTGGGGCCTGGATTGGCGAACGCCTTCCTCCGCTCCATCTCCATTGCCGGCCGAAAGTGGATGATCTCATTCACTATCTGCAGTCTACTCACAAAAAGAAAAAAACATTGGGCAGTGTTTATCTGATGACCCTGTATGTTTTGTATTTGCTATCGGGGTTTAAGTTTCATTTATCTCATTTTTTCGCTCGAAAGGTCCGTTCAAAATGTAGTTTGTTAGTGTAAACTATAACTCATCGACATATAGCAGAGTATAACTGAAATATCGGAGGTTAGATCTCATCGCTGTTTTCAACAGAAGTCATGACAGATATTACAAAAATGGAGCCAAAAAACTGTGATTTAGTCATGAACAAACAACCTGTTTGATAAAAGAGATCAAAATCGTTTGTCTTCAGGAAGGACATAAGAAACGGAGATTGACACAGATACAAAGCTGCGCTTCGCAAACACTAGCGAGAACACGAAAAAAATGCAGCTCTATAACCAGAAGTTCTGATTATATGTACTGTACATTTTTAACTGGTTCAACTCCTTTTAAATTAACTTTTGGCAGCTAGTGTAATTCGAGACCAGCTTTTGAGACGAGCAATTAAGAATTCTAGCTAATCTTAGAGCAGAGAACAGTCATGACCTCGCGTAAAGAATTTCGCGCTCACTTCAGGGCGTATTTGAGCAAATTTTAAAGCCAGAGAATTTTAAATCTAGCTCAACTTGAGCAATGGGGAACGTTACGAGCAGTCAGAACAACCAACGAGTAATTGAAAACGAGGAGTTTGAGAAATGTTTCGAAATATCAAACCCAAATATGGAAGAAGAGTTAAGAAGACCACACCCTTGAGTACCAGAAGGGCGTATTAACAACGATGATGTTGTTGAAAAACAACGATGATGATGTTGCTTCAAGTTGAAAAAGTCGCTCAAATATCCCATATCTATTGATAGGGAAGAAGAACAAGAAACTAAATTATTCACTTCTCATAAAAAACGGCGGATTATCCCATTTCTCATCGAATCTGCTCAAAAATGGTTTTTTAGTTATCTCTTGATCAGAACAAGATTGTGTTATGTTTCTTAATTCTTACCCGCCACTGTGTGGTTTGCAGCTGAATGTGCGGCTGAAATGGTAGACGTCTGTGCTGCCCTTGTCTCTCAGAATGCCACTCACCACAAACACCACCAGTAACTCCTAAAACAATTGCACCAATTCAAACAATGCATTGGACTACATTTGAATGATTGTATAAAGATGAGTAGAAAGTAACCATGCAAGAGGATTTCAAATTAGCGACGCAATTTGCGCTATGAAAATCCCTATAAAACGCATACATTTCAGTCACAAATATTTTTCCCGGGATTGATAAGGAACCAGGGAAAATCAAAATAAAAGTAATCTAATCTGAAAAATACCTCAACAAAAACCCTAGCCGCGCTTACCAGTACTATTTATGTACATTCTTAGAGAAAGCGTGGGATGTAAGCATTGTACCGTTTCGAGCATCATGTCAATGGTGAAAGAGGTGAGGTCGTGTTCAGAGTCAGGAATCTCACTCAGCAAGCTTAGAATCTTGAACCTGCCCTTGTACAGACACTTTTCCAGTTGATCTAAACGAAGCCACGGTTATAATTAACTCTTAACAGAAGTTAACTCTTATCTCTCCCATTGGTACTCAATTCATGTCTCGTCGGTGCATAAGGTAGTTTTGAACAAAAACTCAAGAAGCAGCAACGTACACAACTGAGATCAAGATGAAAAGGAATGATGAAAGTTTTCAGTTAATTGAACATCTTGAAAAATAAACTATTCGAGCTTCCAATGATAATATTTGACCAAAAAATTACAAAGAGTTCAAGTTTCCATCGTCTCAAACCCTTACATATGTTTCAGAACAATCTTTGTAGATCTAACATAGATAAAAAAAGTTGGAAAAAAGTCACAAAGGCAGGGAAACAGGAAAAATACCAACTTGAATTACAAAAGCATCAACTGTGTTAATTTATTACTATTCGAATGTCAAAGCACATGCAATCAAAAAGCTGTAAAAGAGTCCCACCATTATTGGGGGACCGCACCATAAAATTGCCGCACCAATATTCGCGACTTAGGTTGGAAAAAAGAAGGTTCGTTCTAATACACTAGAATCGCAAGTGTAATGACTGCAGAACGTCGAGCAGAATAAAAAGAAACTAGTGGGGTATGCAGGAAGACAGTCGACTCGCCGTACTTTCGACTGATTCTACTTTTTTGACAGAGCCAAAGCTGCGCTTTGCAAAAACGATCCAAGAAACGCAAAATAGTAGGTTTTAAAAGGTAAAAAAAAACTAAACATAGCCAGCTGACAGTTGGAAAAGAGTAATGAACGCAAGTAAACAGAAAAAAACACTGACTCTGAAAAAATCTCACCTCTCGATTTTCAAAGAAAGAAAATAGATGCACTTTAAGATGTTTGAAATTCTAGAACAATTTATGACCGGTGCTTTTTTGATAATATTAACCCAACTTGAGAAAACTGGCTCAATAGAAAAAGTTTTTATTCCGCTGGAAATCTAAAAATTAAATTCCATTTTCAAAACTAGAAACTGTTCACGTTTTTTGCGCCATTTCCACGTTCGTATTTGCATAGAGTTATTTACGTAACTTTCAGCAGATCAAATTAACTCAAAGAGTGCATATATACCCAAGTGCATTCATAAATGCAATATTATGTATAAATGCACATCTGTAGTTATTAGAGCAAAAAAAAAACACGAAGATCTATATGAGATTCTTCACTACATTCACTACTCTTAATAAAACACAGAGGCCGATAACGCTACTGGAAAAATTTGAATGAGTAAAACTTTGAGTCTACAAAATTTCTTAAGTGACGCACGCCTATTTTGAGTCGACATAACTGCAAAGTGACGCTGGCCCTTTAAGACGCATTCTGCAGTCTTAAGTGACGCACGCCAACTCTGCAGTTTAAAGTGACGCACGCTAATTTTTCAGTCTTAAGTCACGCACGCCAAAGTGACGCACGCCAGTTCTGCAGTCTTAAGTGACGCAATTAAAGAAAAACGTACATTTTTTGCTTTAAATTGAAAAAAGATAGTTCATACTATAATACGAGCTTTGCTTGTGTAAACATTAACCCAACTTGAGAAAACTGGAACTATAGGTAAAGTTTTTATTCCCCTGGAAATAAAATTAAATTCCACTTTCAAAACTAGAAATAGTTCACGATTTTTGCACCATTTTCACGCTTGTATTTGGAGTGCTATTTACGTAACTTTCAGCAGATGAAATTCAATTGAACTCAAAAAGTGCATATATACGAATGCACATCTGTAGTTATTAGAGCATGTTAAGACTTTTTCTTGAAAAAAAAAACAAACGAATATCACCAAGACATATATAAGAGTCTTCAACTACGTTCATTACTCTTAATAAGAAAAAAAAATAAGACTGCTCGTATCAGGGCGAAGCCCTGAAAGTTCCGACTACCTTTTAAGGTCTATGGAGCATTAATAAGATGAAAAATTCCAATGTAATAAAAAAAATAAAAAATTTTTTTTGAAAAAATTTGAGATTTTATGTAAAAACATCCCCCCACACGTCAGATTAAGTACAAAGTGATAGATTTTGCGCCTATTAACAAATCAATTATGGCATATAAGCTTCCTTGAACCAATTTGGAACGATTTCTAAGACGGATTAAATATCGCTCGCGCATTAATAGCGCGAAATTTATCGAGCGTTAATTGTCCCAAATTGGCCAAAATGGCAATCTTTAAACCCCCATAACTTTACGAAAAATGATCACAGGTAAAATATCTTTTCAAATTCAAGCTCAGGAAAACAATAGCTTTCGAATGATATAAAAAAAATTCCGTCAAAAACGGCTAGTTAAAAAGTCGAAATTTGTCTGAAGAAAAAAAAAACCCACCCCGAGCACAAATATTCCGTTACTTTCGGAACAATTAATAAGTTTTGAAAAATAAATGACTTCATTAGGGAAATTAATTCTCAGTCCTCGGACATTCATGTTTTCCAGTTATCTGTCTGCCTATAAGCTTAGGGCAACCACTCGAACTTTGCACGTAAAAATTACAAATTATAAAGCCAAGTATATGTATTTCAAAAATCTCACGACATATATTGAGGTAGAAAATTTGTGAAATCGAGTTTTGTTTTTTATACTGATAGATGAAACAACTAACTTTTTTCGGTTTAATCGATGAATTAAAAAGTACCAATGCTGTCTCCTGCCTCAAATTGCTTTAATGTTGACTTAGTTTGCAAAAAGCTGTATCGTACCATCACACTACGTTCGGCTTGTGTAAAAATTGACAAAGTAGTTCACGAAAAAAAAATGCAAAACCATTGATATACACTTCGCGAATTAGATTTTAAAAAATGATTACCGTTATAAAACACTACGCTCCAGTTGTGTAAAAAATCTTCCATTTTAGAGCTCTCACCTAGTATAGCCATTTAATTTTTTTTTTAATTTAGATCCATTTTGAAAAAATGACTCTCTGAGGATTTAATAGTTCTTTGAAATGACTCACTGCTGTCCATACTCTTAGTGAGGTTGCGGGTGTGCTTGAACATGGAGTTGATCTTGAACTTGGATCTGCTCCCTGTATCCGGAAAAAACATCGTCAACGAGAGAGTAGCCTGCAACAAACAATATTCAATACTTTACACATCATAGATTAAGTAAAAACTATTACATTGATATTTTCAGTGAAAATAAACTGTTAGCTTTTGCTCATGCAAGGCTGTCCACTTGGAAATTGCGTGATATTTTGGCTAGTTAATAGAATTATTGTCTTTTTTTTCACAGTCCATTTTCCGTCGGACTAATCAGACAATGACAAACATTTTTAGGTGGTTGAAAAAAAAGCTCTTCCACCGTTTCCTCCTACACACTAGTTTTTAGACTTCTAAACTTAGCTCACGTTGTCCGATTGTCATTAACATCGGCAAGAGAGTTTATTTATTAATAACAAATTCACTTGTCTTCATGCACAACGTTTAAACTCATGTTTATATCTGGTAGTGGGAAACGGCAGAAAAGCCGGATATCTTTAGAATAATTCAGCCTGGTTATCAAAATTTGCATGTACTCACATCTGTATCGTAAGCTTCTATTAAAAAATTTCCTCTGTTTTCTTTGTCGTATACTTCGAAGTACTGTTGCGCGAAGCAATAGATCACACTCTTCACATTCTCCGCATGGACCACATTGCCCTACAGGAAAATCAAAACTTAAAATCGATCCACAAAATTCTCAGAATATCTTTTATTTTAGGATTATCTGAAGACCATCTTTGTTACTGTTCGGACCAATCTCGAAGAATTTATTTCAAATAACTTTGACCACCCCGAGGAAAGCTCGTACCATGTCGAGTGTTTTTTCTTATCACATTAAAGTCCTGTTGGTCATGATTCAGATTCTCAAAAATAAATTCTGTGTCGAGAAAAATTGGTCTGAAAAATTCCGGAATAAATTGATGAGAGGCTGAACTCCCACTACAACTTAACTTCAATTTAGTACTGAAACTTTACCGCCATTTAAGCCATGTTACTTCTCAATGCTGCTAAAAAGGCTTCACCACATTTGCAACTTATTTTAAACGTTGCCATAATGCAATGAAAATAAGTTCATACGTTGAACTGAAGCACGGGCAGCTCATTCGTTAAATTATTTTAAAAAGCGTTGTCAATGATTCATCCAATACTTTCTGATGGAAAATGTTCTCCGGCATATCTTGAACTTACCGCAAAAGGAGGTAAAGATTTTTCAACAGGAGCGTCTAAGTCAAAAGCAATGGCCGCTTTCACTGCATGTCCATCCTAATAAGGTCATTTTTGCATAGATTTTTACAGGCTTCAGGAGTAATCAAATTATTTAAAATATCGCTCACCAGCATTTGCACATTCGGAAACCTTTTATGTACGTCTCTGAAACGAAATCAAAATAAACCCTTACTTCTAAAACCTCCTATACAAACCCTTTCAAAGCTGAAGAGGTAGAACTATCCGGCTCCCAGAACTCCAAGACCTTCCAGAGTTGCTTTGGAGCACTGCCTGGTTGGTCTTTGTTCCCGGGAACCAGAGCAATCAGACTTGTCGCTGAAACCGGGATGTAATCAATCGCACTCATAAATCAGAATGGTTTGTTTACTTGACGTATGTAGACTGGTCTTTGTAGTGAAGGCAAAGCGGGTTCCCGTCCAGAATCAACTCTGTCAGCTTCAGTTTCTTCACTGGGTCCAGGTTACTAATATCGGTCATCTGATCAAAACAAACAATAAGCGAAAATAGCTATCCTAGTCTCAAAATTCAGGAAAAAAAACATTCACAATTTTTTCATTTCGGTTCCTAAGAAATAGCCGAACAGTTTCAGCTTCTGTTGCAAATCTAGATATCATTCAAATACAAATGTGAAAAGTAAAACAACTGACCCGGTTATGAGACAGATTTAACTTTGAAAGACGGGGTGATTTGTTTGGTAGTTCACTGTATGGAAACATGTTGAACAAAGCATTGTTACTGAGGTCCAAAATTTCAAGCTGAAACGCAAGCGTTTACAATATTAGCACTTTACAACTCAAAATTATATAAAATGAACATGATTGGTTAGAAGTACTGATTTACTTGAGGAATATAAGCTGCTATGAGTTTGCACACTGAAGTAGCTATGAATTTCTGTCCGATAAAAAACTTCTTCAGCCCTGCTCCCGAAGATTCTTGCTTCTCCAAGAAGTTGGACAGGTCCAGGTACTTTTGATCCGGAATGTAAAACTTATTCAGAAGATCCTGTAGAGCATAACAACATTTAATGCTTAGAGATCTATTTTTGAATGCTTTAACTAAAAAAATGAAATCGACCTTTAATTTGTCTTCATCAGCAGCCGATAAACTTCTGTCTCCGTACCATGCCCTTTTCAGTATGGCCATCTAAAATAGTTAGGATAAGAATCACACAGAAAAACTCATGAAAAGACAAATTTTACAACTGGATCAATCTTTACCTTTCTTCCATCTGAGTTCTTCAAACTCCCCGAAAGTTTTTCAAGTTTAAAAGCAACTTGCTCAGATGTCACCACAAACTCAATATTATTATCGTTGACAGTGATCTGAAAATACACAAACGTTTATAACAAAAGAAAAACATTCCAACCCGATTCTGGTGAGATCAATAAATACATTTTCGGCATTGAGGCTCATTCCGGTTTTTTGTTCAAGAGACTGCATAAGTTCCATTTGGTCTTCTTTGTGAGCAAACATTATCTAAACAGAAACTATTTGAAAATATTTTCCAAAGTGCAAAAGCTATTCTCGATTATATATATGAATTGAATTGCACATCTGCACGATTATCATAATGAGCCTGAATGAAAGTTTTCGTTAGTGTCATCTATTTAAAAAACAAAAAACGGACTAACATTATTGTTAACCTAACCATACCTTTATAGCGTAGCCCAAAGGCTTCATTTGTCGGTTGGTGCTGAAAGAGCCACCATGTCGACTCCCTCTAGATCTGTTATTTTGGCTAAAATCAATATCAGAATAGTAATTTAATTTGATACAAAATAGTTGATCAAATTCAGAATTCCTTCCTACTTGAATGACCCTCTCTTAGAAATTCCATGTGATCCACGGCTAAAGTTGGGCCGGTATCCACCATAGTCATCATTTTCTGCAGAATAGTGATGGCTTCCTCTAGATTTTCCACGATAATAATTTCCTAAAACATCATTCATTCCGTTAAAAAGTGAGTTCTAGCATGGGCATTTTGGATAGATTATTAAAAGCCCGACCTCTGGAATATCCTCCTCCGCGCGGCGGCATAGTTCTAACAATCTGAAAACAAAGACTGAATCAAAAGAAACTAAAGAAACTTTGTACACAAATGTACCACTCTAAGAAGCAAATGAAGTAGCTCTTAGAAAGCTGTAGGAGCAAGATGAACTACCATCAGTTGCTAGGAAAACCATGAAGAGACCGTTGAACACGGCAGTTAGTCAAGTCCATTTCAAGTGCAACGAAACATCGTACGCTCAGACAGATGGCTTAGCGATGGGACGTCTCTTGCCGTAATTTTGGCAAAACTATCGCTGAAGCAGTGCCAAAATGCATCTAAAGAGGGATATTCCTGAGCTGTTTATGTTCAAAAAGGATCTTAATGGAATATGTCCCGAATGCAATAAGAAGGTCACGTACAGGTCAAAAGGTGTAGCATGTGAAAGCTGTTTCAACTGGTATCACGTAAAACGCGGTGATATATTAAACGGAGAGTACCGAAACATAGGTTAAATCGTCTGGTACTATCGAAATTGCATTGCGATAAGGGAGAAAATCAGTCAGTTCAGCAAGCTTAACTTTTTCTCCGTTACGTACATGATATAGTGAGGACAGTGAAGGGTGATCCTGAAAGGCTGTTGCGGGCAGCAAACTTACTCTATTCCACTTTACAGTTCACAATGGAGACGACACCGAACCTATCTGGGGAGCTGGCATTTTTGGATTTATAAACTTAATTGACACAAGTAGGAAAGCTAACTGTGGATGTTATCAAAACCCAACAGATGCAGGTATCATACTAAAGTTGCCCCCTCCCTCCTTCAGTACAAGTAAAGCGGGATTGAAGGAACTAATCATCGTATTTCCGCAATACGTCCACATGAGAACACTTTGATAAAGCGATGGAAATCAACGGTAAACAGTGGTTCGATAACCAATATTCAGAAAATTAGTCATCGCGAGTTGCATCGTGAGCCTTTGAGAAGATAATCGGGGAGAGCAAAAACAAAAAGAAGATGGCTGAGAAAGGGAAGTCCTGTGGTTATAGTAGCAATTTACCACCCATCTTGGTGGTCCAATATCGTGGGAATCACAGTCAGACATTAGCGAAAACGTACGCGATATCAACAATGCGCAGATAATTTTCACGATGCTGAACTTGAAAACTTGTATGCCTTTATTTAAAATCCTCCTTTTTCAGTGAACTGAAATCTAAAGTGGTGCCCAGACTAGAATGTTGTGGGTGCAAAGCCATCTATAGTGGCCAGACGGTCCAACATCTCACCAGAAGGATTGAGGAACACAGGAAAGAGGATACTCCTGTTGGACAGCAAATAAGGCAGTGTGGTAGTGAGTTGTATATCGGAGTTTAACTGAAAGACAATCGACCAGGTCGCCAGCGACATTACGTTACTTACATTAATTTGTTACAACAAATAAATTGAAATAACTTACATTATAGCATGAAATTAGCAACAAATCGAAAATGTCATAACAAAGTTAAAAACTTTAAATTTGTGGCTAAGACAACAGAGGAGAGAGAGAAAGACCTTTGTTTCGCAAATGCACCAGAGGCGGATACCTAAGTATTATTTAAGCTCCTGCTTGCAGAATACGAGTACTTTTGATCCTGCAAATATTAAAGACGGGAAGTACTCGTATCTCGCAAAAGGTGATTGCCCGTCTTTTCGGGAAATGATTGGAACGAATGCTCGCAAATCATATCAACCAGCACCAGGAAATCAATTAATTACTCGCAAATGAACAAGAAAACGTTCGAAGACAGCGCAACACTTTAAGGTAGCTTCATAGTTTGCATGTTCATACGGAAGAGTAGAAACTGACCAAAAAAACTTAAGGATCTAATGAAAATTAGAACTGGAGAAACCTTTCGACAGCGTATGGGTGGATGGATTTCTTTTAAAACTTCGACAATTTAACATACATGGCGTTATGTTTTGTATCCTCGCAAGAACGGAAAACCTTTCATAGAAAAGCAAGCTTATAGATCGCCCGTCCTTAAAATCGATATCGTAATACACCCAGGCAACGTGCTCTTATTCCGTATTTGTAATTTCCTCAACAACTTCCTGAGAAAACTGTTATTTCAAACTTGCAGATGACAGCATAATTCTTGCACAAGGATTAAACAGCTATAAGGTGAAGCAAAAACTAAACCAATCCTGCGGTCAACAGTCAACGAAAACGCTCGACTTAATTCTCCATGAAAACCTGGACTGCATGGGACATGCAGATAAGATAAGCAAAAAAAACAATCGCAGCTGGAAAAACTCCTCGGTGTGTGGGTCGAAATGGATGTGCCATTCTGCCAAAAGGCACCACCGAAAATTCTGAATGCGATGAAAAACGTCACCAAGAAAGTTAACAACAGGAAATTGAAACAAATGAGAGTTCGAAATGTTCTGGAACTTCAAAATTAAAATTTTCGATTTGACACCTAACATTTACCAAAAATGAAATACGAAATTGCCATTTTGGGACAGAAAACATAAAAGAAAAGACAACAGTCGAAAACGAGTGAATCTGAGTATATTGCTCAATCGGTCTTGATTTAGGAAAATTTGTTCCTCAAACATGTATTTGACAGTGTTAGCTATAATAATACTATCACTATCTTTGGTGACAACCTAGTCAGGGTGCGAGGGGTATCAATAAATGCGGCTTTTTGGCTATTTGCACCACGTCAGTGTCTGCTAAACCACTAATTCAATTCGCTCACATTTCTTCAAACCACATCTGCCATGTTAGGATTACGAACCCTTGAGCTGTCTCCCTACAACTTATAACGATACTGAACTGCGCCACTGATGCTCGGAATAGAAAAGTGCCACTTGGACATTGAAGAAAATGGGGATTTGAAGTTGCGCATTGATGAAACGCAGAATAAGTTAGGAAAAGCAAGAGGTTGAAATCGAAAAATTGTTTGAAATTTTCAAATCTTTATTTTTCACTCCAGTCCATTGACAGGAACACACTGAAAGCATGGAATTTGATTTTATCAACTGTTCAAATATTATACACTTTTTACTAACAACAGACATTGAAAATTACACTACCGTCAGAACATGGAAGGATACTCCCTGGAAACGAATCTACCACAATTGGAGAACAAACTGTGGACAGAACCACTAGACCACAATAGACCAAAATGCAGTTCAAGTTTATTGAAGGTAATCAGAAGGTCAAAAGTATCATAGTAACCGAGGTTACAGTCAGGAGTCCCTTCATCACGTATTCCAGTCAAAATCCTTGGAATTTTCTAGATGTGGAAGTGATAATGATAAAAGAAGATGACAAGTGTTTAAGTCCTTTCCAATTAAAATCGATACGGGTTACGTTTCTTCTGAGGAGTAACTAAGTTACGCAAAATATGACTCAAGTTTATTATCAATTAAAGTGAACATCCATGTTTCCGTTTGTTGCAGCCTGATCTATGTGAGACTGACCTGAAAGTCAACGCTAGTCTTCAGTTAAACAGTCAACCATATTACAATCTGAGTTCAACACAACAAGTAGTAGTAGTAGTAGTAGTAGTAGTGTAGGCTTTAGGATTTCTCCATGGGTTTTGAACCCTCGTTTATAAGTTCATAATTTTTCCCGGTGGGTTGCAGTTTCCACACCAGCAAAGAATTCTCCACATACACAAGTTGTTTTCTGCAAAATTTCTGTTGAAGAATTTCCAAAACGTGTTTGTTATAGATATTTTCAGGCTGTCATAATCTTGATTTTCGAAGTCCACAATTTGGCTAAAGTAGTTGTATAGCGTAATAGAACGTATATAATAATTTTCATTTGACTTTTTCAGTCTTGTTGCATGAACAGCAATCTCACCACGTGTTGCTTGTCTCGTTCGTGATTCGTTTTTATGAATAATTGTATTCAAATCAATGTCATGTTTATTTTTTAGTAGTGAAACTAAGTACAATATGTCGTGTAATTCAAAGTACATTGAGAGTGGAAGGAGCTTTAAAAATTTCAGTCTTTCAGTATAACTCATTTTGAAGTTATTTGTAATCCAAGATGTCGCTCGTTTTTGTACTCTTTCTAGTTGTCTTAATTCTGCTTTGTTCGGATACCATGTTTGCGATGCATAGCTTATGATTGGTACGATGTATCCGCAGTATAAGTTTAATTTTGACTTTAAAGATGTTTTTTTCGAGATATTTCGTTTGATTTTGTAAAAAGCTCCCATTGCTTTTGATATGCGATTTTCAGCATTTACTGACCACGAAAGGTTGTGACACATTAAAATACCTAAGTCTTTTTGGGTCTTTGCGGTATCAACATTTGTATTAAATAGTGTAACTTCCATTTTCCCTTTGAGGTTTAACAAATTACATTTATCTTCATTCAGCGGCATTTTATTTTCTTTGCACCATTTTTCAACATTTGCCGTGTCTTTTTGCAGATGAATTTCTTCAGTAGACAAGATCTTCATATCGTCACAATAGCCAAAACAATCTGAATTCTCGATGCATTTGGGAAGGTCGTTAATGAATATGATAAAAAGTAGAGGGCCAAGAATTGAGCCCTGTGGTACACCGCTAGTTACTTCTTTCAGAGTTGATGAACTTTTATTGATTTTCACAAACTACATTCTATCTGTTAGATAGTCTTGTATTATGTCTTGTATTTGAATGCTTAGACCTATGTTCCGTAGTTTGGCGACTAGGATACTATGAGGAACTTTATCAAAGGCTTTAGAAAAATCTAGATAAAGGACTGAGAGTGTTTGAACATTTTTGTCATCGTAGAGTTCATATACTTTGCTCAAAAATTGTACCATTTGTAGTACTGCTGACCTTTTTTGCCGGAAGCCGTATTGTGCGTTTTCCAGGAAAGGTTGAACTTTGGGGTATATATTATCAAAGATAATTTTTTCGAAGACCTTCGAGGCGGAGCATAAGAGGCTAATTGGGCGGTAGCACTCGACTGACGCCTTGTTCTTTTCTTTAAAAATTGGGGCCACTTGACTTGTTTTCCAGTAGGTCGGGAAGAGCCGCTTGTTAATGAATGTGCGGAAGAGAAGATAGAGCGATTT